GACGTGTGCTCTTCCGACCCCATCCAAGTACTAACCGTGCTCAACGTTGCTTGACTTCAGTGATCGGACGAGAACTGGTTTTTTCAACGTGATTTGGAAGTTGTCCGATTGCAACAATTGTTTGAAATGGTTTTGTTATTTGTGATATATGGATAGAAAATGCATAGTTGTTTTTTAAAACAATTATGTAATTTGCATATACAATCATATATCATTTCTGAGGAACAACTATGTATTTTCTTACACCAATCGATTTAACTCATTCTGTGCATAAAAGTATTAAGATACAATTATCAAGAAATCAATAGTTTACGAGATATTTTATATTTTATGTCAAAATATGGCATAAAGTATTAAAGTATTAAATATCTCATAAAGTATTGATTTTTCGATCACTTTACCTTAATATTTTATATGTCGCTCATTTAATTTTTTTTTTGCTTCATAGCTATAGGAGAATCCTACGAAGAAAACTACACCAACAATATTAAAATTAGCTATTGAAAAAAAAAACAGTTTTACATTTTTTGCAAAGCAATTGTGTTTTTTTTACACCAATCGATATATTTCATTATTCTGTGTATATAACTATTAAAGAATTAATAAAAAAAATACGCGGTCTAGTTCAAATTAATATTGTTTAATAAATAAAGTAAATAAAAAATTTGTGAAAATTTGCCCAGAATATTGTGGTCTTTAATAAAAATCTTGTCGATAATATTGTAGGATCAAACAATACAAAAATGTAATAATTATAATTACAAAAATTTTCAGAATCAATTGTTAATTTTAATTTTTCGGTATAGTTTTCTTCATAGGATTTCCCTCGGGCTAGCAAAAAATAAAAAATAGAGGGATAACATCACACGGTGTTCCCAAGCGGTCACCCATCCAAGTACTAACCGTGCTCAACGTTGCTTGACTTCAGTGATCGGACGAGAACTGGTTTTTTCAACGTGATTTGGAAGTTATCCGATTACTCCAATTATTTGAGAACGGTTTTTTTTTAATTAAGTAATTGCAATATACAATTACATATCATTTTTTAAGAGCAACTATGTATTTCATTACACCAATCAATTCATCTCATTCTGTGCATAAAAGTATCAAGAACTATTATCAAGAAATCAATAGTTTACAAGATATTTCACATTTTATGTTGAAATATGCCTTAATAAAGTATGAAATAAAGTATCTCGTAAAGCACTGATTTTTCGATAACTTTACCTTAATATTTTTATATGCAGAATAATTATAGAGAAATCATATTATGTAAAAAAATAATATTAATTAATTCGATTTAAAAAAGTGAAGGTGATCTTCATATTTTTTTAGCGCCTCCACTTAGAAGAAAAGCGAATTGATCAAAATACGTCCCCCTTGAAACCGTTATACTTTTATCTAAAACTTTTTTTTATATCAATAATTTTGGAGAAAATTGGTTGTTTTAAAATGGGACACTATATGTATATATATACATATATATCTAGATGTGTATATATAAATGTATGTATACAAGAAATAAGAAAAATAAATTATGTATACATATGTATATGTATATTTATTTTTCTGCAAAATCTGCTAACATTTTTTTTTTATTGAGATGCCGGTACGGCGTAAACTTGAAAACTTAGATTAAATCTATATTTTATTTTAAATTCACTTCACGTTTATAATCTTTTTCCAAAAAATATTATCAGTACTATTACATTTGTTCGAGGCGACTAATCTCGTCTCAATAAGGTAATCAAATTTTGCGTCATTATTATTTCAAACAACACAGGCAGTAGACTGCTGAAAGGATTCAAGCACCATTTTGATCGCGACTGAATTCATGAATTGTAATGAATCATCGCGATTGCGATCAGGAACGATTGTTCGGAATTTTAGAGCGAGCGTAGATTTCGAGGAGCTTCGAGAAGGCACGACGGCGAAATGACAGTAATTTTATATGCCTACGTACTCTGTCGACACGGTGACATCGTGTAACGCATGATTAGCGTCGATGGTGGTTACGTCGCGATGCCATTACCAGCGGACAAATTGAGTTTAATATCGCGACTTGGGCGTTACAGCCTTGGAGCATACTAAATGATAGAACCAGTAGAGTGCTGGCCAGGCCGTATCTATTAAGTCTTTCGGTCTAGGACAGATAATTTTAAGGTAATCGTATCATATGTAGCCACTGTCGACTTGTCAGAGACTGTGTCAAGTGACGAGATAATGCGACGTAAAATTTTCGCTGACATTAAGCCTTTCGACGAGGTCAAAACGTGAGGTGATCACAATTTGTCAATTCATTAAAATGTTCAACAATACTCTTGACATTTAGTAAATCAACATTGCAATATATAATGATATGTTGATTAAATATCGCAATAGCACTCGAAATAAATCAAAGAACGTACGAGGTCTGATCAAAAAGATTTGAGCTTTAAACGTGAGATCAAATAGATTATAATGATGGAGATCGAAAGGAGATTTCAATCTTTTTTTAAAGTAGGCTCCATGCACACTTGTTTCAGCGATCCTTCTACCTGGAAATATTTTTCAAACTTTCAGTTTTAGGGATCGCCAAGAACTCCCTCGTCATTCTAAATGTCATCTCTGGTATTAAATCCTTTCAACTTTTATGTTTCGAAAACAACCAGAAGTCACACGGAGCCATATCTGGAGAATGTGAAGTCTGTTAAATCAGAAGAATTCGATGTTTATCAAAAAAGCCTGATTTCATACCAGAGATAACATTATCGAGAAAGTGACAAGAGCTCTGGCGATTGCCAAGATTGAGTTTTAAAAGTGTTTCCAGATATGGAAGGACCACTAAAAGAATAAGTAAGTGAATTCACAAAGGCTCTACTTTAAAAGGGATTGAAGACCTCCATAAATATCATCTATTTTATCTCACGCCTAAAAATCAGATATCTTTTGAAAATTCGTTTTAAATCTTGTACATTGTAGCGTTATAAAAATGGAATTTTGATTTAATAATAAAAGAATATAGGAATATAATATTATGTTTAAATATTAATTATGTTTAAAAATTCTAGCATAATAACACATTCGTCTTTGGAGTTAAGAGCAATATAAGCTGCCTCAATTCGACCGAACAGCCGTCTGCCATAGAGCATTTGCCAAAGAATAATAGTAAGTGTATGTGCGACACTGCTTTTCCATAAATTTCCTCGTCCCGATCGAAAAAGTATTTTCTGTCGATCTTTCAAGACTTTATATTTCTTTCAACTGTTTCTAATACAATTTATTTATTCTCAAATGTCACATCTTTACAGGAGCGACAAAACTGTCGCACTTCACAAACTGGAGCGAATGGTCGGTATGCGATCGACACTGCATGCAAAATCGCGTCAGGAGGTGCCGATCAAAAAAAGATTGCGGGACCACTGTACTTAAGGTAAATACGTAACTACTACATAATTATGCGATATCTTAAACGATTTTCGACTAACGGTCTGTAGCAATACAGGAGGAACGTGGTTGCGAGCATAACAGAGAGGGTCGTCGAAGGCGATGCAAACAACGCCAGCGTCGAGGACGTCGAAGAAACGAAAGATTTCACGTGGTTCAAGTAAGTCTTCACATGCGATGTATAACGTTCGATTTTCGATTGCGGTAATACGCGAGTATGCGTTTTCAACAGGTACCTAAAGAAGCAGAGCCTAGGCATGGAAAGCGAAAAGGCAAAAATACCAAGGAACATCCTAGGAGGCATTACGGAAAATGGAGTAAATGGTCGCCTTGCACGAGACTGTGCACTACTCAACGTCACAGGTATTGCAGAAATTCGTAGATTACATAACTGATATTATTATAATATATATATATATATATATATATATTATCCATTCGTTCTGATCAGATGGTGCAGAAAGCCGGGCATTTGCGGGCGCGATGTGATACGAGAGAGTGCCTATTGCTACGTCGAAGGTAGCTTCTGCCAAAGATGGATCCATCGAAAGATTCATGGTCGCCATGAAGAAGATGGCGATGGTAAATACATTCCAATAACACTAGATATTAAATACTAAGAATAAGAAGAAACAAGAAAGTAATTAGTTTTATCAATTTTCTAGACTTCGTGTTGGATGAGTTCGAGCTCAATCCTAACACCGTGGATAGCTTCGCTCCAGAGAAGAATTCGAACGTTTGGAAATGCGGAGTGGTGAACACTCATAAAGGATCCAGATTATCATACTTTATGCGAATCATCGGCGGTCGTCCATCTGCACCTGGAAGCTGGCCGTGGCAAGTGGCCGTGTTAAATAAATATCGGGTATGTTTGCGACGATAAATATCACATTCTGCAGCAAATAAGAGATGCCTACTCGGGGGAAAAAATAGGCTTTATACTGTCAATATAACAAAAGTTAATTGCTTTTCTTTTTTCTTTTTTTTTCAGGAAGCTTTTTGCGGTGGAACATTGATATCCCCAAGGTGGGTATTAACTGCCGCGCATTGCATTAGAAAACGCCTCTTCGTTCGCATTGGAGAGTACGATTTAACGGTGAAAGAAAACACGGAATTGGAGCTTAAGGTACGTGTCACAGTCAAGAGCTAGACAATTTCATGTGCCGCGCCATTGGTTAATTCTATGACCGCGTAGGTGGACTCGATGATCATCCATCCGGAGTACGATGTCACTAACGTTGATAACGACGTAGCTCTACTTCGTTTACCAAATACTTTGACCCCGGATCCTTCGAGAGGAATCGCGTGTCTGCCCGCGCCAAAGCAGCCCTTACCGAAACAGTACTGCACCATTATCGGCTGGGGCAAGTCCAACGTGACAGATGACTTCGGAACGGATGTGCTGCACGAAGTTAAAGTATGCAGATTCAATTTTTTTTTAATTTGATTATTTAATAATGGGCACACACATATCGCGTATATACTTTCAAAAGAAATACAAATATCAAATTCAATTCTAGGTACCAATAGTGTCTACCGAGACCTGTCGAAAGGTCTATGCGAGTTACGGAATCACGGATAACATGTTCTGTGCGGGCTATCCCCGTGGTAAAATGGATTCTTGCGCGGGTGACAGTGGGGGACCTCTGCTCTGCCGAGATCCTCGGAAACCCGATCAACCGTGGACAATTTTTGGTATCACTAGTTTCGGCGAGGGTTGCGGCAAGCGCGGTAAATTCGGTATATACGCCAAACTATCCAATTACGTGCGTTGGATTACGAAGGTGATGAAGATGAACGATTACACTTAAGAACACACGATGCCTATTGTAACTGTATTATAACTGTAATTAACGTTCCCGCATAAACGAGCCTAGAAGTTGAAAATATGATAGGCAATCGGGATACAAATTTTAAGCTGTACATCGATAGGATAAAAAAAAATGCAAAGCTATACATTTGAAAGTACTAGGTATAAAGTTAATTATGCTGCAATCTGTTGGTACATCGCACATTTCATTTTTTTTTTCAAAAATGTTTATATCGTTTTGGAGGAATGAAATGTAACTGTTGCAGAAATTACGCAGTCGATACGTGTTTATCGATAGTATAAATACGTATCGTATTATATTTTTCTTCATCGTGGTGACGAGTAGCTCATTGCAAAAGTGGCTGATTCATAGGATTCAGTTCATGAATCCCTAGTTCGATCTTGACTTTGTCTCACATATATCTTGATTTTATCGAAGATTTCACGGTTTCTCGTTGTCCTCTTTGTCAGAGAGAGCAACGGAAAATAAATTTGATTATTACTTCTCAGAATATAAAGAGAAAAGATAAAAAGTGAAAAATGTTTTTAACTTATAAATAAATAAAATAAGAAAAGAGCGTAATTGCCTTCCAAGTTATTTGTGTGCGAGATAAGTTATATAAACACAAAATACAATGATATGTGCGCAATCTGTAAACGCTTCAATCTTTGATTAGTTCATCCTCGTTCGAGGATTAAGTTGAAACCTTTACGGAATGCGCGCACATTTCTGTGTGTCTTATGTGTTTATATATATTATCTGCTATACAAATAATTTGCAACTATCATGCTTTTTCCTTGTTTTATTTATCTAAAAGAAAAGCTTGTTTCACGGCAGCCCCTTGAAGTCATGCAGCCGTAAAACAGCTCTCTGTAATTTAGCGGATTTAGCTCCGACCTTGATATGTTGTCAACCTATATGAAACCTCGCTTCGTGTTGTAAAGCGTATGCAGCGGACATAGTGACAGACATCAAAGTCAAAGTTATCGGAGCTGGATCCCCTATAAATAATTACCTAGCTGTCTAGAGAAAATAATTGTTAATGTCTAATATATGTTTAATACGTCACACTAAAAAAGATCCCGCATCTTTGAACGACGTATCGGTGACTACGTACTAAAATAATACATAGAGAAAGAACAAAAAACAGTTATACGATTTTTATTTTCAAAGTTGCATCTTTCATCACAATTCTACTCTATCTTCTTTCCAATAAGCTCGACAGATAAGAACAGCGCAATAGAAAAATGAAACATTTACAACTGTGCAATGCATCTTTTGTGTTTACTTTCAAAGTAAGGAAAATGTAAAAAAAAAAACAGCGATAAAAATGTAGAATAATCAGAAAACATTTCGATCGCATTAGCAGAACTCTGTATGAGACACCATACGCTAACATTGTGCTGCCATCTTTGCAATCCTATCGACTTCCTTTCCTTTTCAACGAATGGAAACGTCGAGCGTAGAAGATCGAACATTGCATTATGATAATCAAAAGCGAGATGTATTTCAAAATATCAAGTATGTATAGTACCAGAAAAAGATATTTACTCCTCGTAATTTGTCAATATTATATGTTTATAAGATTACATGTACTACGGCATTATAAATCATAGAACTAAAAATGGAACAACAGAGCAAACTGAAGAAGAAAATTCATGTTCAAATATATCCATACATTGTACAAACGCAGACATTTTATTAATAAATAATATTAATCATCCGAAATCTTCTGCTCCACATAGTGTGGATCAAAAAATCCACATTAGATTAATTAAAAAACAGTATATTAATAAACTGTCTACGTCTGTACATTTGTGGATATATGTAAATTTTCTTCTGTAGCTTGTTCTGCTCTTCCACTTTTAGTTCTATGATTTATGTCATAGAATTGTAGTAGATGGAAGAAAACACGGATTGAAACTTGAATATAGTATGACAACTAGTGTGGAGAATGGATTCATGAAATTTAAAAATTAATCCGCCTTCGGTGATATTATTATAATTACTGACATAGAAGAAATGAAAGAAAAAAGTTTTGTTTTTATTATTCGTCGTGGCAGGGCGATAAATTAGTAGAAATTGTTGATTGCGGCATTAAAGCTGCCTTTCGGATGAACACAATTTTAAAACAATATAACTCTTTCGGAATTTTACGTTTAATAAATAATACAAAGTACTGTAATCCTTTAATCGAGAAATATGGAGTAAATATCTTTTTAGAATATCATTAAATGCGTTATCGAATCATCTTAATTGAATTTACACTTCGAGAAGTCCATCTCGGGATGTTGTTCCATAAACCTGGAAAAATTCAAAATTCAGTAATTGATTAACTTGAAATATGAAATAGATAGAATATAGAATAATAAGACAGTCAACAAAATATTTTTACTTTTTGATAACGTCCTGCTTCTTTTGTTCGTCGGACGTCGGAAGTCCTAATTCCTTCTGCCTCTGATCATACATCATCTTCTCCACGAGGCCCCTTGTCTCTCCATCGAGGTCAGAGAGTTTACTAGGTTCGGGGTTCACTTTCTTCGTACTAATTTCTGGTTCACTCGTTATAACATGTGCCCACCATTGCATCTTATTTACCTGCAAACGCCAAACGTTAATTTCGTCACCGATTATAAGGATATTGCGATTATTACGTTATTATTATGCCAGAAATAAAACTAATCAATACATATATATAGTTACATCACCGTTAACAGCTTTTCATTTTTCTTTATTACGCAGACTGATTAGTGTGTCCGATAAATACAAAAAACTTGTAATTCAACTACAAATTGTATTTATTAAAAATTACATAAAAAAATATTGATTCATGTATTTATTCAAAACTTTGGGTTTTTTTAAATATTATTCATGAATATTTTGATTATTTTACAAGTATTCATATTCATTCAAATAAAGTATAAATAAAAAAAACTCCAATAAGCAACTGTTGCCTCTCATCGCCCTTAATCAAAATCAGCATATCTATAATCAGCACATTATTATACTTGCGTGCTGGCAATACAGAACGGAAGTGAATACGAAATCGAAAATATTGATAATCATATTCACAATATATTCATTCAAATTAAATAAAAAATATTTATTTATTTTACCGTGAATACAAAAAAATTGTATTTATACTCATATTCATATTTACTATTCATTTATTTTTTCGAATATTGATTATATTGTAATAATCGGACACACTATTGAAGATAAACATCGATATTTTCACCTTTTATCGAAACTTTCCTTTTATCGATTTTAATATAATTTTTTTTTAATATACTATCGTAATATATGTTGCAAATAATAATATACCGCAAATCAATTATAATATATCGTTTCACATTTCATAAAGTGATGGACAAAAATTACGACAAGCAGAATAACGAAATGTGTATATGATAATCAGATAAAAGAAACTAATTGGATAAGTGCTTAATTAAACGTCGCATTATCGAAGGACATGTCGATCTGCCGAGATTCGTTGCGTTCGGTCACGCGTATCTCAAATTCCCATCTGCGGACTGGACGATCTTAGAATCCGTCGGCAAGGCCGAGAATCGGCGAGGCCGCGAAAAAGCGCGTTATTTACGCGGCCGGGCGCGGGCGCAACCGTTTTACGTGCCCACGACTCACCTTTTCCACACTGATATGCAATACTTTTCCGTCCTCAATTACCCAAGTGGACTCCTCGAGCTTGACCTCGTGCGGGAAATCCCCAGCGAGAATTGGCGGATGGCCTTTCAGTCCGCAGCTCAGGTGTTTCTTCGCGATCGACACGACCACGTCTCTCGGCCTGGCCGAAAAGTTGATCTTTAGCGGAACTTTAATCTGTAAAAAAAAGCACATCTTGTGCATTCGCATATTCGCTCGAGCGTGTATTATTCACATGTGGCGGCTACGAAACTTCGTGCGTGATAAGAAACTTCGTCGATAACTTATTCATCGTTGTCAAAACAAAAACGAAGAAATGCTCTGCGAAAGAATAATATATACCTATATATTTTCTGTTCTCATAATGCTTTCCTATCCTTTGATTAATTCAATGGAATTCCTATCGATTTATTTTGATGCACTATCTTAATGTAATGATATGCAAAAGTTCTGCAGATTCTCATGGATGGTTGATACTACGCCCGAGTAAAGAGAGACTGAATAGAATGACGGCGAGCGTGAGAATTGTTCCCAGCTCGGCTCTGCACGGGCAGCCGTTTTTTGTCCTTCTACGATTACGATCTCGTTGCAGATCATTGTGGTCCGAATCACAAACCTGCGACCTCGGATTTCGGAAACGAAAAATCGTAATGACCTCAGGAGGTAACCTTGAACGTTTGGAAGGTTCGCGGGGGCACGCGAATCTTCTCGAGCGCGAAGAACTGGAGGATGAAAGGTGCATTGTAACGAAGCGAAATGGCAAAGGTTCGGCATTCCTGGGATACACCTCGTTAACCACGAAGAGTGCTCGCTTTAATTGATCGCAGGCATATGCGGATCAGATCCCGGCTTTGGGTCATTGCCAGTTCAAAAGGGTCAAGAGTATAGACCGATCACGAGCGTGAATGTTCGCTTTGTGCGAAAGCGTTCGAATCTGGAGTGTCGAGCGACCCGCTTTTCTATCGAGTCATCCCATCTGCGCGGTCATCTGAATCACCATTATGTCAATGAAAATCATAATAATCAGCAATTACATATTCATTAAAATCAAGAATGCGTAACGCATATATGCCAAACCAGTATTAAAAATGTATTATGGTCTTGAATTTCTAATTTTTAATTAGCTTATTGCGGACAGTCCGTGGTATCCGTTTGAACCTTCGTCCTGACGTGAATTATAAAATGAATAGTAAAATTCACTAATACATATTCATGCACCGTCGCGACAGAGTGGTCTCTGCGACGTGTTTCTACGACGCCTCTATATTTCAATTCCAATTTGTGACGGGCAAACAATTCAAGCTGCTTAAGTTTATTACGCATGCAAATCCCGCTGCATTATCTTAAACCTTCTCTCGAAATTTATCGATTCGCGTTAACTCAGGTGACAAGGTAAGGTCTCGCGCGTTTACGTAATTTTCGCGCGCTGCGCGGCTCACAGCGGCGCTTCGCGCGTAACTCTCGCCACCACGCCGTGCGTAACCCGTCGCTCGATTCAAACATGTTATCTTTTGAATTCCGTAATTAGCGTTTGGGCTATCAAGATATTAATATATTTACTTCTGTGTGTATTTTTACTCGATTACAATATTTTACGATTCATCGATTCCCAATAAAGGAGACTTGTAGCGGCTCGCACATCACGCATCGCGATTATCCGACTCATCTCGCAGCCGCTCGTTCTTGGATTTCCAGAATGACGACGACGGTGGCGGTGTGGAGCCGGGTGTGCACCGGTGCGTGGAAACGGATCATGGCTACCGACTTTGCGCCCGACGTTAACAAAATGGAATATCATTATAAAAGCGGCACCGCGAGAAGGCGAGGAAGAAGACGGCCGTAAGGCTGCTCACTTTTGCCGAGGTCTACCCTAAGTAGACTGTGAAGTATACGCTTTATTAACAATCTTCGAAACATTCGTGGAATTCCCGCTGTGAAAAGTTCAATCTACACGTTATAATTAAGAATTCATGCTATTATTTGCTTTTTGCAATCGCAATAATATACTCCGTTTCTTCTCTAAGTCTATTATTTGGCAATGTTTTCTCAAACAATTGCTCTAAAGCAATATTGCTTCCTTATCTACACCCCAATACATCGGCCTTAACAATCGAATTTTGGTCAGTGTTGCTGTCAAGTCACATAAGCGCCGTATAAATTAAATTCTCATAGTTTAAAAACTGGCATACAAAGATCAGCTGTTCTTGCGCGTATTATGACTGGCAATCACAGCTGTATTGACACAGCTTGCTCGCAGGAGTTTTTGCCGAGTAAAGAACTAATGATCTCCGATTGTACGTATAAAGATTAAAAGCATGCTTTGCGATCAAATACGATCAAGCTCTATACTAATCTTAGCACAGAAATCTTCTATTTCTTCCGCGTTTACACTCGTAAATTATTATTTCAGACGTCTATAAAAAAACACATTATTGACCAGGTGATTATGCAAAAATTAACGTTTGTAATTAACGACAATATTTTTCCATTTTAGAAAATTTAATGGGAAAAAAATAAAGGATAAAAACAACAAACTCTATAATAAAAACTTTATCAGTTTTAAACTTTAATAACTTGATTTAAATAAAAAAATTTAAATAAAATGATGAAGTAGTTAATTAAATAAAACTTCAGAAATTTTAAACTTTAATAATTTTGATTTAAATAATTAATAACTTAAATTAAAAAATATATCTCTCTAAAAACGAATGAATTTCTTGTGAATAATAATTTGAACATATATATATTTTCGATTAATAATAAGTTAAATTATAAATTCTCAAGACATAATAAATATTGTTAGCTCATTGTTCATGCATCATTTCACTGCTATTCTTATCACTTTAACCTGGCACCCGCATAAAACAGACGTGTCATATTGACGCTGCTCGTGGCTGCAAAGACTTGCGAAACACTCGTTCTTACCGCTCGCGTAGCCGCATCGAGATCGTACGTAAGATTTTTTTTAGACGTATGAAGTATACGTTTTAAAAATGGCACGAAGATTGCACATTATACGAATTCGTAGTCTCAAAGTAGACGGCGAAGCTCTCCGTCTTCTCGGGACCTCGGCATTCGACTTATTGTCGCGAACAGGCGAACGTGACTTCGAAGGCTGTTTACGGCCGCGCGTCGCCTCGTTCGTGGATAACCGATTTATTTGGCGCTTCGTCGAAATCCTTGATACTAAAGAATCGGATACATTTTACACGTTTGCGTAACCAAATAGTTTGATCGTTACTCACGGTATCGAATAAACCTGCCTTCTTTTCGATGTGCGGGATTTTGCGATGAGATCGAAATTCGTAATCGCGATTCGATATCACATCACGAGTGCACGAGCATGCAACTAAGACTTTTCCATTTATGAAATCCCGTTAATACATCGTTTTACACGTCGGCGACAAAATAAAATTAATTCGCAATCGGCGGATAATCACAGAGGCTCAACTAATGAATACTTGACGTCTCCTCAAGACACCAAGGACGATGTGAGACGCAAGCAAAAATATGCGCGAACAAAGTTGTTATACCTACTATTTAAATAACTACAAAAAAATAGTTTGATAAAACGTTAGGTAAACATTGTGACCACTCTTCAGGATAAAAATCAAGAATATTTGTCTTTATGTTTTAGCTTGTCTCATCTTTATAAAAGCCGATTTTAAGACCGTTCTTTTTTTTTCAGTTTCACTGCAGCTTCTGACAGAGATGTATAATGTTAAGTACGTGATTAAAACAAAAAATATATATTTACAAAAATAAATTATGCTTCAACATTTTGAAGAAAAAACGTTTCATTTATCAATTAAGATTGCTTTGTAGTCATCTTTATACTCATATCGTAAAAGCGCATTGGAAAACAGATAATACTGAATTATTATATCGGTAAGGTATCGGAAACTATCAAAAAGATTATTATAAGAAGCGTAACTAATTGCTGTGATTTCGAACGATACAAAATTTTGCAAAACAGCTTATAGATGGAATATCAAAGAACAGGCGACGAGAATAATCCGTACAAAGATGGCTATTTATAATGACGGATTCCATTTATACTTATTAGCGTGAATAAAGATTGATTTATAAATGCTCATTTTAGAGCCAACTAAACGTGAGTGAAGTAAAGTAATAAAGTACATGCAGTAATTGATTCTACGTGAACCTCCAACGTCGACATTAAATATTCATAGTGATGATAACGGGCAGCTGAAGGAGAATCTTGTCTGACGAACGTGGTGCACGACAGAAGACCGGGAATAAAACAAGTATGCGAACGTCGTTTAATGCTAAATCAGTCTGCATGGCTTTACGTAACATGTTACGAATTATCATTAAATCATGGAATTACGCCAGTATGTTTAATTACATTAAATTGGAATTGGTTTTCGTAGATATCTTTTGGATATCTGTTCTCGTTTTGCGTTAAAAAAAAATGTAATGATATCGCACTCTGTAAGTAACCGCGTGTATCAACCGCGGTTAATGCAAGATGTTCCTCACGTCGTGATTAACGCTACAAAATCTGGTATTTAAATTAGCAATTATCCATACGCGAGTGCCGTCTCGCGTTTTTCATAATCAGTTGCAGTCTGTTACGGCAGAGGATATAATTATCCCGTGACAGGCGTTTCATTTAATGCGCGTTTTTGCAAAATCAAACACTGTTATCGCTAATCAATCTTTTTAACGATGAGACATAAAGCGACGGTACAGATAAAAATATAATTTATGACTTCCGGTATTGCGGGTGAATATACATCCAAACGGTAGCTTAACTACATTATACCAACATACTCCCGCAATAATCAATATCTGTCATAAATAGTTAACAATGCGTTTGCACTTTGGAAAAAACAGCGTAACATTTTATTACAGAGACAGAGTTACAGGACTAAAAAAAAAGCACATTTGTAATTGCTTGTAAAAAAATATAGAAGATAAAACAGTTGCAAATATTTTACAACTTTTAATTAATTGTGAATGATAATTTTAGCGAAAGATTTTTATGCATTATAATGTTATATGCGGTATATAAGTAGACACATGCATATATTTTGTCGTTATTTAACATCATGTCAATATGTCAGCAGTTTCATATTCATGGTAGGAAACCATAGCCAAAGCGTGACGTCCAACACGATCGAAGTGCGCGATCGAAAGGATGCGAGAAGATC